TTTTAATCACATTTTTCAAAAAATCATTATTCCAAAATATATCTATCCCAAGAAATGGGTCTCAGACATGAGCTTAGTTTCTCGAATCAGATTTAGGAAAATTACAAGTAGAGACCGAAAGTGAGACGTTTAACAAATTGTTGAAAATTGCAATTATCGTGGTGAAATATGGATGTGACAAATGATGGAATATTTTAGAATATTTTTAACTGAAAATGTCTTTTCATATTAAAAATTACGTCTTTTAAATAAAAATTGTGTAGAAAGGACACGTCTTTTAGACATGTTTTATTTCAACATTTGTGTCTTTTGACATGCAATTTTCCATCTATCATATATAGGACTCTCCATTTGCAGAAATCATACACATTTCACTTCATACTTGCACTATTATATTATTGCATATTCACTTCAAAATATTTTCTACATTTATTTGAGTTCGATTTTCATGTAAAGAGAGTTTTAAATATCAATAAATATTTGGTCTACGTAACTTAAAGTGCTCATATCTTGGGGAGATGTTCATTGTATATTGGAAGATAAGTGTCGAAAAACAATTAACACATGTACGGGACATCATCATCTTAAGACACAGAATCGGACTCTTACTTCGAACCAAAATCTAATTTTCTGCATTTCTTCTCTCTACATTTCTTGATATCGATAAGTCGACACTATGCTCAATATTTTACATGTAAAGGGTTCATAATCGAAATAGTGCTAATTGTGTTAGGCGAAAATTCTAACCCTTAATGTAAGACTTTTCGTTCACCGTTTTTCCGAATTTAACTTTCTACTTTTTCTAGTTGACATGTTTTTCTATGAATTTTATTTTCTCTTGTTCTTTCCTCGTTATCAAACTTGAAAAAAAGAAGAGTTAAACTATAAGGCGTCGTGTTTATTCCACCTTATACCTTTAAAACATGCTTAGCAATTTTTGGATATCAAACCGATGTCCTAATAAAGTAATTTTAATGTGGTCAAATTTCCTTCTATGCAATCAATTTTGCTATAATAGCATCATCCTTTCCAAGTGGGATTATGTATGATTGTGCTAAAGTGTGTGTATATATTATCAATCAAAACTCTTTCAAAAATTGTACAAGCTTCTTTCAAAGTATACAACTTTTTGGCAAATGCTATATCATACGAAGAAATACCAGAATGACGGAATTTATATTAAACCAAATAATGCTACTAAACAATTTTACTTCTACATGTATAGCTCGGATTGGTATCATAAAGAAAGAAGAATGGCTCGGCTATCCCACACTTTTTTTCTCAAATGTTTGACTGAGGTTAAATGACTAAGTCGCATGTCATTTTTTATTTTTTGGATGATCCTGATCTCTTTGAATTATCATATGACAAAATACAGACAGAGATTCAGGTTGTCACTTCATTGATTTTTATTTTAATTTTCCCTTGCAATTAATTCTTGAAATGTATGAATTCAATTCTCCATTTTCTGTAAGGAACTCAACTAGGTGAAAACAAAATCCTTCCTGTGGTGTTAAACCACCGTTTTGCACCAAGAAACCGAGCTCAGAAACCTCAAGAGAAAACCCAAACACCCAATCCTCCAAACGGTTGCTCCACCTGTTTTCTACTGCCCACACAGGAAGTTCTAATGGTGAAGAGAGTTTTGT